CGGGCCGGTCCCGGTTCCACCATTTCCGGACCCGTGGCCCGGCGGGCCGGGCCGGGCCGGGCCCGGACCCGGCACCTGGCCACGTCTAGTTTGTGTACTTTTACAATTAATGTGTGGGAATGTCTTAATTAATTGCAGCAGTTACATCTTAGGTATAATTGTAATATTTTTTACTTAGTTTAGTAATTTTATAAATAAGTATATAATGGGTATATAAGTGTAATATAAATTTTGTCTGATATTTAAGGGTGCAAGTTCCTTAAACAATAAAATCATCTCTTCAACCTATGGCTTAATTCTCCTACAAAGTCTATGAGTAAGGGATTTATTTATAACCTTAAGATAAGATCGAATACGATGGCATGATTAATAAATAAATGTTTACCCAAATATGAGAATTTGGCTACAATATCATTTATGTGATTTGCTAAAAATATTTCAACTATATTGTGTAATTTAATAATTAATAATATTTTATATTTTCTGTGTAATTCTTTTGTGAAATGCATTTTTAATATACGATATACCCGCTTATGGTAAAAAATGGTATCTCAATATTTGTTTTTTCATATTGCTAAGCATTTTACTCAATATTAATGAAAGAAAAATATGGAGAATACTATGGTTGATACTTCTTTATAAATGTGCGTGGAACATATCAAAATACTTGGTATAACTGATTTGTACAACTTTTAAACAGATTTACTGCAGTTTTTATATACTTTGCATATCAAATATATATGGTATTTAACTAAATTATACTTTGTTCTTCTTTTATAAATTCAGTCATTTTTTGATCATTTGTAGTCATCCTTAGTTCGATTTCATTTTCAATATTCAAGTATCCGATATATCTTTTATTGAATTCAAGATGAAGTGTGAATTCAGTTTGATCAAGAAAGTCACTAGAACCAAGAAACTATCTATGAAGTTGCGAGCAATTCAAATAATTGAAAGTAATTTATCAATAGAATACAAAAATTACTTAGAAGTTTTGTCTCATGATGAGGAGGTGAGAATAAAAAATAAATTTTGAATTGGTTTTTTCATTTTTTTAATTTTGTGTATTAATAAAATCATTCTTATTTATGTTTCCTAAATATTTATTCTAGAGAGAACGTCGTATTACTGAAATCATAAGGGTTGCTCATATCACGAAATGGATAAATAATGTGAAAGAGGAAAAAGTCTATGGAATTCAAAAGTATCAAGTGGAAGGCAAATACGGTTCAT